TTTCAATGTCTTCCTCATACCTTACCACACCTCCCAACTCAGTATCACTGGTCAAACTGGAATACAGATGACATTAAATTGGGATCAGGGTCTGCCTCGATACCTTCGGTCTTCTCTCCCCTCCTCACCTCCAGCCCCCATGGGACATTCTCACTGTGAAAGGCACTTTATCAATGTAAACTTGTATTGTGTCAGGGCATGAGCTGCTGACTGTGTGTGTGTGTGTGTTGTGTAGGAGTTACAGGCTGGGACGAAGCCTAGGACCTCCTCGGTGCATCATCACCACCACTACGCCAGCCAAGGGCCACCCAGCCCCCACCCCCTGCCTCTACCACCCATCGCACACCCCCTGTGGCCATCAATCCTGCCGGGGGGGCAACTCAGCCACCTACAGCCCTCTGTCCACCATGTGGTGGGCCCCGCCGTCACCCTCCCCACCCTGCATACGTGAGCCCTGGGGGGGGGGTTGTTGGACGCCAGTGTGGGGGAGGGCGTTGTGGGGGGAGGGTGTCGGGAGGGAAGAGAGGAGTGGAGGTAGGTAGGAGGGAAGTCGAGAGGGAGGAGAGTGAGGGGCGAGTGGGGGGGGAAGGGCGTTGGGAGTGGAGGGCATTAGAGCGAGGGGATTGGGGGGTGAGGGAGTGATGGGGGGGAGGCGGATAGAAGGAAAGTCGAGAGGGATGTGGGGATCAGCGGTGGGCGGGGCAGTGGGGGAAAGTGATGTCATGTCAAAGACTGACCACTGCTCCTGTCTCTTGAAGGGCTGCAATGGATGAGCCGCTCTCTCGGGCCACCCCAGGACTTCAGGTGCACGCCCTCCCCACTCACCAGGACTGTAGTCAATGAGCTTATCGTATCGTCACTAACACCTTCAGCTGCTCAAGTACAAACATACATAAGTTATACAGAGGCCTTCATGTCCGGAGGAAGCCTCAAGGCACTGAACAATCCTGGTTTTGACAGTGGAAAGGGGGGGGGAACAGGAAGAGGTGAGGATCATATTGTCACGAAAACAGTATCCTGACAGCAGCTGAACTGGACCAAGAAATCGAAACCCAAATAAATCTTTTATAATACAGATATTTCTGACTTTCTGTCATCTCATTTTAGTCAATGACACCTCTTTCCCCCCCATTCTCTCTCTCCCTCACTCTCTCTCACCCCCCATATCTCCAGCTCTTTCTGCTGCTTCATTACTTCATTAATTCTGGAAAATAAGATCAGAATTTTCAAAGGAAATCACTAGGATGCGCAGGCATGTGAGTTACGTCTTTATTAATCTGGTGTTAGGCCCCCCGACCCTGCCGAAGTGAGCAGTGATTTAGCTTCTCTCTTGGCCCAGGCTCCTCACAGTCTGAGCCCATTCCACAGCTCCATTCACTTCCCAACCCCGGGGTCCCTGCTCAGCCCATCTTCCTCATCAGTGGCTGTAGATGAGCACCGGTCTGCCTGTTCAACATCTGGAGGATGTGCTGCTCCCGCCTGTACATCTGGCAAAGAGGTTTAGGGATAGATTAGAGTGGTTAGAGCAGTGAACAAGAAGAAAATTACATTTGTATGGCGGCTTTCACGTTGGGAGGATGTCCCAAGGCGCTGTACAATCAGTGTTTAAGACCTGAGCTGGGGGTCGGAATCGGAGAGGGCGGGGTGGGGGGGTGGAAAGGAGAGTGATCGAACGCATGGTCGAAGAGGAGGGTCTTGAAGGAGGCAAGGGAGGGGGCAAGGCAGAGGGACTGCAGGATGGAATCCCAAAGGGTGGGGGCAGAGTGGCTAAAGGCTTAACACCAGATTAATTGCCAATGGTGGGGGGGGTGAGGTGGGGGACATAAAGCAGGCCGGAGCCCACTGAGCGCAAGGAGGGGTCAGGTTGGTAGGGGGTTAGGAGGTCGCAGAGGTAGGGAGGAGCAAGACCATGGAGGGCTTTGAAAGTGAGGATCAGGATCTTGAATTGTATCCTCTGTGTGATGGGAAGCCAGTGGAGTCAGGCGAGGATGGGGGTGATGGGGTCATGGAGCCTGGTGTGGGAGAGGACATCGCTGCAGAGTTCTGGATGATCTGCATCCTATGGAGGGAAGAGTTGTGGAGACCGATAAACCGATAAACAGGGAGCCTTGTCTTAGTCGAGCCTGGATGTAATGAAAGTGTGTATGAGAGTTTCGGCGGCCTGTAGTGTGAGACAGTGGCCCAGTCGGGCAATGTTGTGGAGGTGGGGGAAGGCAGAGCAGGTCATGTCTTGAATGTGGGGTAGAAAGAATAGCTGAAGGTCAACCAAGACCCCAAGGTTCTGGACTGGCTTAGCAAGGTGGACTGCCATACCAAGATGGATGGTGAAGCCGTCAGCGCCTGAGGTATGGAAGTGCTGACAGGAGCCAATCAGGAGAGCCTCGGTCTTGTTGAGTTCAACCGAAGAAAGTTAGCTCTCATCCAGGACTTGATGTCTGACAGACATTCTATCAGGACAGCAGTTGGTCCTGGAGGCGAAGGTGGAGGCAGAGAGATAGATTTCGATAACCTTTTTGATCAGCAAACCAAATAAACTGATTGAAAGTAGCCACAGGCCAATCCCATGTTTCCAGATGCTGCAAAGGCGTGATATCTGTGGTACGGCCACAAATGAGGAAAAAATTCAATAAAGAAACATTTACTTGGTTGGCCAATCCATAAGATTATCACCAGTGAGTTAGAGCAAGACAGGGATGAGTACCGAACTGAAGCAGAGCAAGAGTTGAAGTGACCTGGCAACCCCTCAGCACTCGTCATCCTGTCACTGTAGCAATGCAGCCCCCGCCCCTTCCCCGGGGGCATACAGGGTCTTACCTGCTCGTGTTCGGCCAGTGAGTCATGTCTGTAGCCCAGGAGGTGGCAAATTCCGTGCACCACAGTCACCTGTGTAAGAGCAACACTGTAAGAGCAACAGCAAGAGTAAGGGCGTGCGAGTCAATTAGAGTGTGTGAGAGATTGAGTTAGAGAGAAACTGTGAGTTAGAGCGAAAGAGTTTGAGACAGAGTTTGAGCGAGAGCGTGGGTTGGAGAGCGTGAGAGTGTGAGTTAGAGAGCGTGAGTTAGAGAGAGAGAGCGATCGTGAGTTAGAGAGAGAGAAACAGAGAGAGCGCGTGCGTGAGTTAGAGAGCGAGAGCGTGAGTTAGAGAGCGCTCGCGAGTTAAGAGAGAGCGCGCGCATGAGTTGAGAGAGCATGCGTGAGTTAGAGAGAGCGTGCATGAGTTAGAGAGAGAGAGCACGCATGAGTTAGAGAGAGAGAGCGCGCATGAGTTAGAGAGAGAGAGCGCGCATGAGTTAGAGAGTGCACGCGTGAGTTCGAGAGCGAGCGAGTGAGCGTGAGTTAGAGAGAGAGCGAGCACATGTGAGTTAGAGAGAGAGATAGCAAGCGCATGCAATTTAGAGAGAGATAGCGAGTGCGTGCAAGTTAGAGAGAGAGCAAGCGCGCGAGAGTTAGAGAGAGAGATAGCGAGCGCATGCAAGTTAGAGAGATAGCGAGCGCGTGCAAGTTAGAGAGATAGCGAGCGCGAGTTAGAGCAAGCGCGCGCGAGTTAGAGAGAGTGAGAGAGAGAGCGAGTTAGAGAGCAGGCTAGAGAGAGAGAGAGCGAATTAGCGAGAGAGAGAGCGAGTAAGAGCGAGACATAGCGGGCGTGAGTTAAAGAGAGAGAGCGAGTTATAGAGAGAGCGGGTGCGAGTTAAAGTGAGAGAGCGCGAATTAGAGAGGGAGAGAGTGAGCGAGTTAGAGAGAGAGATAGCGAGCGCGAGTTAGAAAGAGAAAACGAGTACGAGTTACAGAGAGATAGCGAGCGAGCCCAAGTTAGTGAGAGATAGCGTTCGAGCCCGAGTTAGTGAGAGATAGCGTTCGAGCCCGAGTTAGTGAGAGATAGCGTTCGAGCCCGAGTTAGAGAGATAGTAAGCGCCCGCGAGTTGGAGAGAGCCGGCGCGCGCGAGTTGGAGAGAGCCGGCGCGCGCGAGCTGGAGAGGGTGGGCGAGCGCGAGCTGGAGAGAGCCGCCGCCCGCGAGTTGGAGAGGGCCAGCGCGCGCGAGTTGGAGAGAGCCGCCGCCCGCGAGTTGGAGAGGGCCGGCGCGCGCGAGCTGGAGAGGGTGGGCGAGCGCGAGCTGGAGAGGGCGGGCGTGTGCGAGCTGGAGAGGGCCGGCGCGCGCGAGCTGGAGAGGGCGGGCGTGCGTGAGCTGGAGAGGGGGGGCGCGCGCGAGCTGGAGAGGGCGGGCGCGTGCGAGTTGGAGAGGGCGGGCGCGCGCGAGCTGGAGAGGGCGGGCGCGTGCGAGCTGGAGAGGGCCGGCGCGCGCGAGCTGGAGAGGGCGGGCGCGTGCGAGCTGGAGAGGGCCGGCGCGCGCGAGCTGGAGAGGGCGGGCGCGCGCGAGCTGGAGAGGGCGGGCGCGCGCGAGCTGGAGAGGGGGGGCGCGCGCGAGCTGGAGAGGGCGGGCGCGCGCGAGCTGGAGAGGGCGGGCGCGCGCGAGCTGGAGAGGGCCGGCGCGCGCGAGCTGGAGAGGGCGGGCGCGTGCGAGTTGGAGAGGGCCGGCGCGCGCGAGTTGGAGAGAGGCGGCGCGCGCGCGAGTTGGAGAGAGCAAGCGCACGCGAGTTAGAGAGAGAGAGCGCGCGAGTTCGAGAGACAGAGAGCTAGCGCGAGTTAGAGAGAGAAAGAGAGGAAAGATAGTGGGCGCCAGTTAGAGAGAGAGAGAGAGCGAACACCAGTTAGAGAGAGCAAGCGCGCGCGAGTTAGTGGGCCCAAGTTAAAGAGAGAGAGCGAGTTAGAGAGAGAGATAGCGGGCATGAGTTAGAGAGAGAGAGAGAGAGCGAGCGAGTTAGAGAGAGAGATAGCGGGCATGAGTTAGAGAGAGAGAGAGAGAGCGAGCGAGTTAGAGAGAGAGATAGCGGGCATGAGTTAAAGAGAGAGAGAGCGAGCGAGTTAGAGAGAGAGATAGCGGGCATGAGTTAGAGAGAGAGCGAGCGAGTTAGAGAGAGAGATAGCGGGCATGAGTTAGAGAGAGGGAGAGCGAGCGAGTTAGAGAGAGAGATAGCGGGCATGAGTTAGAGAGAGAGAGAGCGAGCGAGTTAGAGAGCAAGCGCGAGCTAGAGAGAGAGCGTGAATTAGTGAGAGAGAAAGCGATTTAGAGATAGACATAGCGGGCGTGAGTTAGAGAGAGAGAGTGAGTTATAGAGAGAGTGGGTGCGAGGTAGAGAGAGAGAGAGTGAATTAGAGAGGGAGAGAGATAGCGAGTTAGAGAGAGAGAGAAAACAAGCGTGAGTTAAGAGAGAGATAGCGAGCGAGCCCAAGTTAGAGAGAGATAGCGAGCGAGCCCAAGTTAGAGAGAGATAGCGTTCGAGCCCGAGTAAGAGAGATAGTGAGCGTGTGCAAGTTAGAGAGCGCGAGCGCAAGTTAGAGAGAAAGATAGCGAGCGCACGCAAATTAGAGGGAGAGATAGCAAGCGCGCAAGTTACAGTGAGCAGAACGCTCTCTCTACCCCAAAGGGCTGTAGATGCTCAGTCCTTGAACATATTCAAGACTGAGATTGATAGATTTCTTGTGGATAAAGGGATTAAGGGATATGGGGATAAGGCGGGGAGGTGGAGTTAGATTTTATTGAATGGCGGGGAAGGCTCGAGGGGCTGAATGGCCGACTACTGCTCCTAAATCTTATGTTCTAATGATAGAAAGAGCGCGAGTTAGAGAGCTCGCCCTCGCGAGAGTGAGAGAGAGAGTGCGAGTACATTAGAGTGTGTGAGAGTTAGAGAGAAGAATGTCTGCTCACTGTCAGGAGGTTGTGTAAGTCCAAACCATCCTCCTGGCTCTGTCTGTGGATGTATTCCACTCCCAGGAAGATGTCCCCCAGATTCCACTCATCTGGATGTTGGGGCTGTGGCATCTCACCGGCTCTGAGCTCCTGTAACCCACAACAACAAGATTACATTTGTACAGCGCTTTTCACGTCGGGAGGACGTCCCAAGGCGCTGGACAGAGTATAGCATTCCAGACCCGAGCTGAGGTCAGGGGGGAGGGGGGCGATGGCAGGTCGAAGAGGAGGGTCTTGAGGCGGCACTTGAAGGAGACTGAGGAGGGGGCGGAGTAACAAGTTATATCGGGATCTGAGTTTACACCGCACTTCCACACACACCCATCCCGTTACTGACAGGCAGGCGGGCAGGCAGACGGGCAGGCAGGCAGGCAGGCTGACAGGCGGGCAGGCAGGCAGGCAGGCTGACAGACGGGCAGGCAGGCAGGCAGGCTGACAGGCGGGCAGGCAGGCAGGCGGGCGGGCGGGCAGGCAGACGGGCAGGCAGGCAGGCTGACAGGCAGGCAGGCAGGCAGGCGGGCGGGCGGGCAGGCAGGCAGACGGGCAGGCAGGCAGGCAGGCTGACAGGCAGGCAGGCAGGCAGGCGGGCGGGCAGGCAGGCTGACAGGCGGGCAGGCAGGCAGGCAGGAGGGCAGGCTGACAGGCGGGCAGGCAGGCAGGCAGGCTGACAGGCAGGCAGGCAGGCAGGCTGACAGGCAGGCAGGCAGGCAGGCTGACAGGCGGTCAGGCAGGCAGGCAGGCAGGCTGACAGGCGGTCAGGCAGGCAGGCAGGCAGGCTGACAGGCGGGCAGGCAGGCAGGCTGACAGGCAGGCGGGCAGGCAGGCAGGCTGACAGGCGGGCAGGCGGGCAGGCAGGCGGGCAGGCTGACAGGCAGGCAGGCAGGCAGGCTGACAGGCAGGCAGGCGGGCTGACAGGCTGACAGGCTGACAGGCGGGCTGACAGGCTGACAGGCGGGCAGGCAGGCTGACAGGCAGGCGGGCTGACAGGCTGACAGGCGGGCAGGCGGGCAGGCAGGCAGGCAGGCGGGCTGACAGGCTGACAGGCTGACAGGCGGGCTGACAGGCTGACAGGCGGGCAGGCAGGCAGGCAGGCAGGCGGGCTGACAGGCTGACAGGCGGGCTGACAGGCGGGCAGGCAGGCAGGCAGGCGGGCTGACAGGCAGGCAGGCGGGCTGACAGGCTGACAGGCGGGCAGGCGGGCAGGCGGGCTGACAGGCAGGCAGGCGGGCTGACAGGCTGACAGGCGGGCGGGCAGGCAGGCGGGCTGACAGGCTGACAGGCTGACAGGCAGGCAGGCGGGCTGACAGGCTGACAGGCGGGCAGGCAGGCAGGCAGGAGGGCAGGCTGACAGGCGGGCAGGCAGGCAGGCAGGCGGGCAGGCTGACAGGCAGGCAGGCGGGCAGGCAGGCTGACAGGCGGGCAGGCAGGCGGGCTGACTGACTGACTGACTGACTGATGGGGGACACATTCTCTCTCTGTCACTAACCGGGTAGAAGGGAAAGGCCAGGATATCTGTGGGGGCCCCGTGGCCCCGATAGCGCAGGTTCAGGGCCTGAATCCGCTTGTTGTCCGCACAAACGAGCCCGAGGTCAAAGCGCTGGAGTCCGAGGAGCCGCCGCACCCCGTCCACCTCCCGCCGCAGCCTGGCCCGGCGGAGACACACCGGGACCCTCCCGGCGCGGATCAGCAAACTCATCCCCCGGCTCCAGGGAGCGGGGGAAGGACCGTGAGGGACGGACCGGACGTTTGGGGGAGACCGTGAGGGACGGACCGGACGTTTGGGGGAGACCGTGAGGGACGGACCGGAAGCTTGAGTGAGAGTGTGGGACGGACCGGAAGTGCAGGATGGAGACCGGAGTCGCCGCCGACGATCAGTCTCCGGTCCCGAGTTTCAGTTTCAAACCTCCCGCCGCCCCCCGCGGACCGCGGACTCCGCTCAACACGTTCAGCGTCGCGCCGCCACCGGCCGCCCCCGAGTCTGGCATCTTCCGCTTCTCCCAACCCGCGGCCCCCGGCCCCACCTTCAGCTTCTCGGCCCCTGGGCCCGCGCCAGCCCCCGACCCCCCCCACACACAGCGCCGCCGCTCTCCGCCGCCCGCACCCGCACCCGCACCCAGGCCGCACCGGCCTCTCGCCATCTTCAGCCGCACTCTCAGGGACTTGTTCAGTGACCGCGAGGAACGGCCACCCCGGAGCTCCCCACTCGGACCCGCCCGCAGCAAGAGGAGAGGCCGAGAGGGTGAGCGTCCACTCGCTGCCAGAGTCAAACCCGCGCCAGGGAGGGAGATAGTTACACCCAGAGGGCGGAGGGGAGAGAGTAAGTTATATATACAGTTGTAGTGGAAAAATGACGGAGTTGGAACCATCAGTGCAGTGCAGGTCGTCAGCCCAGTGAGAGATGCGCATTCCAATAAATATCTTAGCGGTTTCCATGTTCGGGGGAGACGTGCAATTCTCCGAATTGGATACTCTTTAAGTATTGTGATGGGTTTCCAGCTGACCAAGAAAATGACTCCATCAGAACTCCTCATTTTAAAGACCTTGATCAGGTCACCCGTCAACCTTCTTTGTTCCAATAGAAAAAGACTCAGTTTCTCCAGTCTCCATTTCTTGTTTGAAGGACGTTTCTCAGTGTAAATTGGCTGCTATGTTTGCCGAGAATACATAAGAAATGCTAGACAAAAAAAGACCAAGGTCCATCTAGTTCGCCTTCCAGCTTACTGGCGGTCGCATGCACATATGTCCTATATGTCCTATGTACTATATCCCATAATGTTATTTCCTAAAAGAAAACTATCTAATCGGTGTTTGAAAGAATCAACACTTCTTGCTTCAACTGTCTCCCCAGAGAGCCTGTCCACAGGTTCACTGTTCACTCACTGAAATAGTGTTTGTGTAGATTCTTTCTGTATTTACACCCCTTCAATTGCAGGCCATGTTTTACTCTTCTGGACAAGTTGAAACAGCCTGTCATGATCTATGTTGTCTTGCCCCTGAACAAGCCCAATTTACTTAGTTGCTCCTTATAGTCCAGTCCTTCCATTCCCTCAATCATTTTGGTTGCCCTCTTCTGTATCTTCTCGATTTTTCCAATATGTTTTTTGTACTATGGCAACCAGAACTGTATACAGTACTCTTAAGTACGGTCTCACTAATGATTTATACAGTGACAGGATTACCCCACTATTTTGGCTTGCTATTGGTCTTTTGATACATCCCAACATCTGGTTTGATTTACTCACTGCCACAGAGCATTGTTGGGAGAGCTTCAATTTATTGTCAATCAGGACTCCCAGGTCCTTTTCATTTTCGATTCATATTATTTTCCTTCCACTTAAATAATAGTCCCTTCTAGGATTTTTTTGTCCCCAAGTGAAGTACTTTACATTTCTCCACACTGAGTTTCATCTGCCACCGATCTGCCCAATTTCCAAGTATGTTCAAATCTTCCAGTAACCTATCTTCAGCTTTGCAATCTTACCACCTTCATTAACTTGGTGTCATCTGCAAACATAGCCACTGTGCTTGCAACTCCTAGTTCCAGATCATTTGTTAAACAAAAGAGGTCCCAAAACAGACCCTTGTGGAACTCCACTGGTAAAATTTTCCCAGTCTGATGATATTCCCTGTACAACAACCCTCTGGGTTCTTCCGGTCAATCAATTGTGAATCCATTGTAATAATACTTTGACTGATTCCCGCTTTCTTTACTTTCAGTACCAGCCTCTCAAGAGGAACTGTATCAAAGACCTTACTGAAATCCAGATATACAACATCCATAGCATGATCTTTCTCAAGCTCCCTTGTCACATTGTCAAAGAAAACTAGTAATTTAGATTGACAAGACCTTCCCTTCATAAACCCATATTGGCGTCACAGTCACTACACTTCCTAGCATGTGTAGTTTCAAATATCCGGAGGAGCTGTATGAAATATAAGGTTATTTTGAAGTTGATTGAAGTTTGTTGTCTGACAGGCTCTGCTGGCAAACCTCTGATACGCAGGATGCGCCGGACAGAGAGCTCAGACAGCCTGGCCGGCTCAGGTACAACCCCTGGTCCAGGCACGCCAGTGGCTGAGCTGACCGCTATCCAGTGTAAGAACATCCCGGAGCACATCAACAGCAAGGAGCTGGTCAAGCAGCACTTTTCTCTGTTTGGTAAAGTGCAGCGAGTTTACTGCTACCCCACGAGGAGCCTGGCCATCGTCCACTTCAGCGACCACGTGAGTGATGCCCGGGGTGGGGGGTGTGGGGAGGATGACTAGGACAGGACATCAATGGTAGCAACAATGGTGAGATACAGAGTAAAGCTGATGGTGCAGAGGTGATAAGCTGTGAATCAGGCCATGCTATCTCTACATCTGTTAGAAACTGAACAAATCACTTTTTGTTGAAGGCGTCGGCTGCTCGGGCGAAGAGAAAGGGCAAGAAACTGCGGGAAGGGGTGGAGATGGAGATATTTTGGCAACGGAAGAAAATCAGTGAGTAGTGATACACATTTCTCCTCCCGCTTTCCCCTGTAACCTGGCCTTGTGATCCCTCACAAAGATCAAACCTGGCCATCCATTCCTCACAAGAACGGAGTCATGGCCCTGCACACCCCAAGAGGGACCATTGAGGGTATTGATTGGAAGATACAAGGGGCATCAGTTCCAATTGTGATTCGTATCCGTATCTGAGGGTCATGGTGGACACCAATTTTTGCCTGGACACTGTACTGGGGGACCGTGCTGAGAAAGGGTGAAGGGCACTCTGGTCATGCTTATCTCTTTTCAAGGACAGCAAGGTCTCATTGTGGGTCAAACTTGTGGCATATAAGACCTGTGCAAACAGGTTTTCTTCTGGATTTGAGCTCCTGGGGGTGCAGTGGAGAGACTTCCTCCAGACCATTTGCAAAGTTCAGGATCAAGCAGCGAGGTGGTTTTGTGGCAAACATGGAAAGCGGTTGCGGGGAGGGAGGGCTCCGGTCTACGCTGACCTGTTGCTAGGCACTCTGGAAGTGCAGTTTGCTTTACAGCGAGCACAACTATTTGCCAAGGCCCCATAGTATGAGGACCTGGATTAAGCAGCTTGAGCTGAGTAAGCTTGGTATGCGACATTGGACTTGGACCTCAAGAACATCTAGGTGGCTAGCAAGTTGCAAGCTGACCTGTAAAGGTCCTCCCACCACGCTGAAGGCAAACAATAGCTGATGAGGAAACTCTGAGACTTGGGGTGACCGCTGCTGGAAAGCATTACCTGGGGTCTGAGTTTGTGACACACATTTGTATATCTAGAGCAGAATAAGCAGCAGCTGCTCAAGTTCCACACCTCCAACTGGTGGAACCATCGCTCAGTGGGAAGGGACATCTGCCTAAGCTGTACCCTGGAAGATCATAATCTTACATTTGATACCATGCCTTTCACATCACGTTATCAAAGCGTAGAATTTACAGGATTTACTGTAAAGTATTGTGACTATTTTGTGGACAATCGTGACAGGTATTTTTGCGCACAGCAGTGTCCCACAAACAGCCATGAAGTGAATTACCAATTTTATTTGGGGGATTGTCTGGCAGGACATTGGGCGAGGCTCCAAATGGTAGTAATGCTCTCAAACATTTCATGCTGAACTGTACTGCGCATCGCAGGGAGTTTCTGGCACATGCCATCCACCTAGTGAGGGCTCAAACCCGCACCTGTCCCATTGTCAAATGACTAACTAGTGATAGTGTCTATCTTCCTGGGGGGGTAAGTGGCGGTGGAGTGGTGATATGCTGGCAATGGAATATTGGAATTGAGTCACCTCTCTGCCCACTGTCTCCAGTCTGCTTCTTGCGTCAGGCAGGTCCGCAGTTCTCCAGAGTACTGCTGATGACAGTGGCCTAGCCCATTGGGAGAATGGCATTACGTGGCTCAGAGAGAATCTTATTGACCAGTGCTAGGGGGGCAGCTCTAAGGCAAGTTGAAGGCTCCTGGCTTGGATCTGTAAAATGCTCACCATTCTCTGTCGCCGCCCACACCCCAAGCAGCTTTTAAAACCTCTGCATTAATGCAGATAGCTCATGCTTAACTTAAAGCATTAGGAAGGAAGTTAAAGTGAAAGACTTCAAATGTAGTATTTTCCACTTGCTAATGAGGAAAGACAGAGGGTAATTAGGAGACCAATGCGTGGCTAAGGCATTGGTGTAGGGAGTCAGGCTTTTGTTTCCTCAAACAATGGAGCACCTTTTGGAATAGGGGGCATCTATACTGACTGGATGGGCTCCACCTAAACAAAAGGGGGTAGAGGTGTTGGCAGGCAGGATAGATAGTTTAGTTAGGGAATGTTTAAACTAGGCACATGGGTGGTTGTGGTAGGTGTAAGAGAGCACCCGAACCGATTAGGGAAAACCTTAAGGCGTACAACAACAACAACAAAATTACGTTCATAGAGAGCCTTTCACGTAGGGAGGACGTTCCAAAGCGCTGAACAGGCAGGGGTCGGGACCTGAGCATAGGGGAGGGGTAGTGTAGGGGTGAGGGAAGGCAGAGAGGTGGGAGGGCGACCAAAGGCACGATCGAAGATAAGGGTCTTGAGACCGGCCTTGAAGGAGGCAAGGGAGGAAGCGAGGCAAAGGGACCGTGGAATGGAGTTACAGAGTGAGGGCAGAGAGGCTGATGGTAGGGCGGGTTGGGCGGGAGACATGGAGCAGACTGGAGCCCGCTGAACGGAGGGAGCGGGCAGGTTGGTAGGTAGTCAGCAGGTCAGAGAGGTAGGAGGGGGCAAGGTCATGGATGGCCTTGAAAGTGAGGACGAGGATCTTGAATTCGATCCTCTGAGGGATGGGGAGCCAGTGGGTGGGAGTGATGGGGTCACGGATCCTGGTGCGCAAGAGTACACGAGCTGCAGAGTTTTGGATAATCTGCAGCTTGTGAAGGGAAGAGTTGGGAAGACTGATGAGGAGAGAGTTTCCATCATTGAGCCTTGATGTGACAAATCCATGGATAAGGGTTTCGGCAGCCTGAGGGGTGAGGCAGTGGCGGAGTCTGGCAATGTTGCGGAGCTGGTGGTAGGCAGTGTCAGTCATGGAGCGGATGTGGAGGAGAAAGGATAGTTTAGGGTCAAACAAGACACCCAAGTTCCTGACTGACTTAGTGAGGTTGAGTGTGCGGCCATGGAGGCTGATGCTGCCAGTGCCTGAGGTGCGGAGGCGCTGGCGCGAGCCAATCAGGAGGGCCTCGGTCTTGCTGACTTGAGTTGGAGAAAGTTGTCCCTTGGCCAGGACTTGACAGGCAGTCGGTCAGGATGCCAGTAGTCCTGGAATTGAGGGTGGAGACAGAGAGATAGAGTTGGGTGTCATCCATGTGGAAATTTACCCCATGTCTGCGGATGATGTCACCAAGGGGGAGCATGTAGAGGGTGAAGAGGAAGGGACCGAGGGCAGAACCACCACTTCGTCGCAGCAAATGGCTTCTCCTCCAGCCTCTGTACTGTCTCGTGCAGTGTGAAAGGTAGGACCTGAACCAGTCAAGGACAGAACCTTGAAGGTTTAGGTGGGAGGAGAGGCGGTGGAGGAGGATTAAATAGTCCACAGTATCAAAGGCAGCGGAGAGGTTGAGGAGGACGAGGCGGCAGAGGGAGCCCTGGTCGACATGGTCAGGATGTCGTTTGTGGCCTTGACCAGAGCAGTTTCCGTGCTGTGAGCAGCATGGAAACCTGATTGGAGGGGTTCATGGAGGGAGTGAGAGGAGAGGAAAGAGCGAAGCTGGGAGGCAACGGCTCTCTCAAGGACCTTGGATAGGAAAAGGAGGTTTGAGATGGGCCGCTAGCTGTGATGGGTCAAGGGAAGGTTTCTTCAAGGTGGGGGTGATAGTGGCTGTTTTGAGGGGGGGGGGAAGGAACAGTGCCAGATGACAGGGAGAGGTTGATGATGTTGGCTAGTAGTGGGGCAAGGAGGTGGAGCTGGGATTTAAGGAGAGGGGTGGGGATGGAGTAGGTGGTGGGTGTAACGGGTTTAATTCCAAAGGTTGGTGAAAAAGAAACAAAAAATGCCTTTAAAGTAAATGGGAAAGGCAAAAAAGAATGGAGTTGTACTTGCATTAATGTGAGAAGTCTGACGAATAAGATACGTGATCTGGAAGGTCTTATAGGAGCTGATGGATTGTACATCATTAGCATAAAAGAGACATGTTGGTATTAATCCAATCAATGGGATATGTATCTGGAAGGTTATAAACTTTAGGAGGGATTGTATCGGGAGAAGAGGAGGAGGTGGGTACTATATATGAGCTCCATTATTGAGACACAAGTGAGAGAGGCTATAAAAAAGGAAAGGGCAGACACAGAATCACTTTAGGTAGAATTAAAAGATGGTAACAGAAGTAAGCTACTAGTGGTGATCTGCTATAGACCCCCAAGCCAGGGTGAAAGCCTTGATCTACAACTGTGGCATGAGATAAGGAAAGCCACTAGTAAGGGGCCAACCATAGTAGTTGGAGATTTTAACTTGCCCAAAATTGATTGGGATAATAATGTGTCTACTGGTAAGATAGGGAAGTGGTTTCTAGAGTTAAAGGAAGACTGTTTTATGACTTAGTTTGTAGAAGAGCCAACAAGGGGAGATAACATCTTGGATTTGATAAAAAGCAACTGGGATGACCAAATCTCCAACATAAAGGTGGGAGAAGCATTAAACAACAACGATCACAATGCAGTCACATTTGATGTCGCAAGAATTGGTGAGGTTATAAAAACACAAACAAAACTGCCAACTCGAGCAGAGAGCCCAGGAGCATGAGGAGGGAACAGAGTGAGGAGAAACAGAGTGAGAATTCTGTTTGGGAATTTGGTGCAAAGGGGGAATTCGGTGCAGGTGAGAACTTGTAAAGGAGAAACAAAACCCCCAAGAGCCTGCACAAAAGATCACGTTCCTGTGGCAGTAGGTGTTGAGTAGGCGTTTAGTATATAAGGAGTGTGAACAAGGGAATAAAAGGTGTGAAATTACTTGTTTTTACCTACTTACCCCAAAACTGTTATTACAAAACATGTCTGAAAACCTGGCAGGGCAGCTAAGAAGCAGCCCATGCTCACTGTGTGCCATGTGGGAAATCCAGGATGGTTCATGTGTTCTGGACAAACACGTGTGTAGGAAGTGTCTCCGGCTGCTTGAGCTCAGGGTCGCTGAGCTTGAGGAGAGGCTACAGTCACTACATAGGATACGGGAGTCTGCAAAATTTATGGATCGAACTTTTCAGGAGGTGGTCACCCCACAGCCAGAGAGAGTTCAGGAGGTGGTCACCCCAGCTACACAGAGGGCTCAGAAGAAGGGTGAATGGGTGACCATCCGATGTGGAGCAAAATAAGAACAGGCAGTACAGAAATCCCCTAAGAGTGCGGCACTCACAAACCAGTTCTCGGTACTGGATACCGATGAGGACGCCTCTGGCGAGCAGAGTCAAAAGGTAATAGATGTTCAGGAGGATAAGGGGAAAAACGCCAACGCTGTTGTTATCGGATACA